CCACGGCTAAGCAGATCGGTTTCTCCGCTGGGCCTCTCCGGAGTGGTCTCTTGAAGGCATCGTTGGATCTTTCCTCCAAGTGCCTGACAAGATCCCGCCTCTACCATCGAAGGAGACCACGCCGCGGACTAAGAACCAGGCCACACAAACGGAGTTGGACACCAAGGAAGGCGCCACACAGACGCCGGAGGTCTACGCGTACGAAAAGGGGACGCAAACGGGCAACGCACCACTTCTGCGTTACACCAAGACATTGCCCCGGATTTCGTGGTGCGAGCGGAGCCAATAACTCTCCGGCCACCACGCCCATCGGCCCTTCTCAGGGCCAACAAGAAAAAGCAAACATACACACGCACGCACGCACGCACGCACGCACGCACGCACGCACGCACGCACGCACGCACGCACGTCACGTCACGCTACGCTACGCACGCACGCACGCACGCACGCACGCACGCACGCACGCACGCACACACACACACACACACACACTTCTCTCTCTCTCTCTCTCTCTCTCTCTCTCTCTCATTCACGCATATTAATTGTACATATATTAAACTTTGTAAAATAATTGTCCATACAGACACGTGTTAACACTACCGCTTCCACCACAGCAGAACCATCCTTTCCAACTAACCAGCACCAAGCCACTACCATGTCTTCCGATGGACACTTTCATACTGATCTGCACAATCTTCCACGTAATATCTTGCTTATATTCTTATTATTATTTATATTTTTAATTATTCTGATAAGAATTTTTCTGACATATTTAATTTATCACGTATTATTACACATATTTATTTAATTGATTACAGAGAGGAGACCAAGAGGTACGCGGGCAGGGGCGTACCGCCAGCAAGAGCGTTTCATGCGCTTTTTGTATCAATTATCGTCGGCCCATTACAATTGGGGACATAGGAGACGTCCCAATACGTATCAGGTAAAAATTTTTTCCACGTCCATCAAAAATGTAATGAAACAAAATTAATTTAAAATAAATAATGAAATAAATATTATTCTTTTTTTTAGCAACGTCCACCGTCCAGGCAGCAATAAGATTCTAGATCTCTAAGTATTGTTGGATAATATCCATATGCTAAGTTTTGTCGTTGATGTCGCGTAAAAGAATTTATTTTATTAATGTTTTGTTTTCTATGCTAAGTTGTCGATGTCGCGTAAAAGAATTTATTTTATTAATGTTTTGTTTTCTATGCTAAGTTGTCGATGTCGCGTAAAACAATTCATTTTTTTTTTGCTACGTACAATGTAAAAGTATAATTTTGTTTAATATCCACATGTATGCTAAATTTTCGATGTTGCGTTTGTTATTAATGTAAAAGTATTTAATGTAATTTTGTTTTGTACGCTAAGTTTTCGTATATGCTACGATGTTGAGTAAAGGAATTAATTTTTTTTTGTACACAATAAATATGTATTTGACGTACTACTTGTATGTATT